TTTTGCTCAGGAATAAACTTGTTCTATGACTTCAACTATCGCCCATACTGTGGGTGGATCATCAAAAAAGCGCGTCCGCCATCTTTGCCGTTTACGAAATTATTGCCGGTCTCATATACTGTCTCAGAGCGCCTGATGGGTAGGCAACATCTTGCCTGCAAGGCGTGCGTGTACTGCGGGTTGGCCTAGCCCGAGTCTCGCAGGCGCCGAGCTCTGGTATAGTTTGCCGATTTGATCGAATGAATATGAGAAACACTGGAAATTAATACTGGAGTCACGTGTCTCAAAAAGGTGACGGGATTTCTGGTTTCCCAATCCGAGCGATATGTTTTCCTCGATCCATTTAAGTGATGAGTTTTCGAACATCGCTCCACTTTGGATCCAGCGACGGCCGTCATTCAAATAAAGCAAAATTGTTCCAAAATCGTTACTCAAATAGATCATGGATCGACGAAATCGGAAGCAGTGTGTCGCTCCTCCAAGAGCGACGAGCGTCACTCCTGCATTTTTCAGTGAAAACGGACGCACTTTCTAGACGATCCCGATATAAGAACGAACACTGTCCACTTTTTCTTAAACGTCGGTCGTTGCTGGCGGGACCTTTTGGTACGGAGGGAACCCTCCTCCATTCCAGTCAGGGCACGGTGAACGGGCCGAGCCCCTGTGGAACCCGGCATAGGCCACCCGCACGGGTCCCTTGCGTTGGGGTCACCTGCCTGCGCCTCGCAGGCGCCCGAGTCGAGCAGCGGTGCACAGGGCAGGCGTCGTGCCACTTGTCTAAATACAATTTTATTTTCATTCACTTCCATTGCTTAACTACCCCACACCCACCCTACCCCACCCCACCACCCCCTAAAAAAAGGACCTTGAGATGTAAGAATACTTATTTGAAGGTGTGCGGCGGGACTTGTATATCCGAGTTATTTTTTCTTCTCTCCTCGGAAATGACGAGGTTTTGTGTGGATACTATACTTGTCCTTTCGTTGGATTTATGCGTAATCATTAGTGCCGGTACGCACAGTTGTTGCGCCACGGGTCACGCACCGCAGGAAAACTTTTGTTGTTGTTCGTTCATACAACGATTCTGGGAATCCGATATGGTGTGCTGTGTGACGTGAAAACTTTCTCTGCAAACGTTGAGGAATGCGTGTGTGTGTGCGTGTGTGTTGCACGGGTTTCACGGCGCCAAGCCCTTGTACTAAACGCAGGGAGCATAGCGAGGAGGGGCGCCCATGGCCCGTGAAGACCGTCGTGTGGAGCTGAAATAAAAACCATTTTCCGGGGGAAAATGGAAAATCTTCCAGGCTTAAAAAGTTTTCCGTTATTTTCGGGAAATTTTCAACCCCTTCACAGGAATGCGCCTTGAGTGCGCGACAATTGAAGATAAAACGTTTCTTATTTTGAATGTGTAGGCGTTTGTGTAAAGGTAAACGGGGATTGAAAAGAACACGGAGAGAGAGAGAGGGGGGGGGGAGGAAATTGGAAAGAGCGCGCACCTTTCGCTGTGCTATGCTTCTGGTTCCCTCGTCACTGCCCTGCCCTAGACGCCATGGACTTTTGCCGTG